TATGTAGATGCTTATCCACAACAAAGGAGTGGGGAATAGAAGTTCAATGGATTAGACAAATGGAGAATAAAGGGAAAGGAGGAGGAAAAGGAACAGGAAAGGCAGTGGAATAAATCTAACATAACTTTCCCATGTACATATATGAATACACCACAGTGAATCTCAATAGCATGTACATCCATATCCATTATCATAATTAGAATAAGATATATAACATGTTTGTATAAAAATGTCAAAATAGACTCTACTGTCCTGTATATATAAAAAGAACAATTAAAAATTAAAAAGAATACAAATAAAGATAAGTGCTTTTTAGGATGTTGGTAGAAAAATAAACTTAGACATTGTTGGTGGTTGCAAATTAGTACAACCTCTTTGGAAAGCAGTACAAATATTCTCAAAAGACTAGAAATAGAGCCACCATATCCCATAGTGGGATATCACCCAGCTATCCCACTCCTTGGTATTTATCCAGAAAACCTAAAATCAGCTTACTCTAGTGATACATGCATTACAATTCTTATAGCAGCACAATTCACAATATTCAAGTTATTGAACTAGCATAGATGCTCATTAACAGATGAATGGATAAAGAAAAGGTAATATATACACATACATACATACATACACACACAATGGATTTCTACTCAGTCATAAAGAAGAATGAAATTATGTCATTTTCTGGTAAACAGAATTGGAGGATTTCATGCTCAGTGTAATAAGCCAGACTTAGTCAGGATTGAATATTTTCTGTCATATAACAAAGTTAGAGAGTAAAAAGAAATAAACCCCGTGGCCAGGCATGGTGGTGCACACCTATAATCCCAGCAGCTTGAGAGGCTGAGGCAGGAGGATCACGAGTTCAAAGCCAGTCTCAGCAACTTAGAAAATCCCTAAGCAACTCAGTGAGACCCGATCTCTAAAAAAATATTTTTTTAAAAAGGGGGCTGGGGATGTATCTCAGTGGTTAAGAACCCTGGGTTCAATCCACAGTACCAAACAAAAGCCAGGGTGGGGGGGACCCCATGAAAAATAGAAGGGAGATCTATCAAGTAAAAGCAGAACCCAAGGGGGAGGGAGGAGAGGAGAGAAAAGGGATGAAGGGGAATTGTGCTATGTGCATGTATGGATATACAGCAATTCATTCAAATTTTATATATAAATATAATTTTAAACAAATAAATAGAAGGAAAGCTGGTTGAGTAGAGACAAAGATCCAGAGGAGGGTGCAGAGGAGGGAAAGAGAAAGTATTTGGGATTATAATAAAGAAAACTATATTGTACGCATTTATGAGCATGTCACAATGAGCCTCACCATTATGTATAACTATAATGCACTTATAAAAGAAATAATTTCCCCAGCCTTACAGACTTTAACTGATTGCTTTATTAACTATACTATGACAGGAGTTATTCTAAGGTAAAATTTCCCATTGTGGTTTTGAACTGGTTTTCCTTACAGTTCTATCTTTTTTATATGATACATGAGTACCCATTATCTTGGTATAACGAACTTTTTATCATTATTAAATAGCCCTCTTTACCTCTGGTAGAGCTTGTACTTAGCAAAAAATATCATCCAATATTCATATAACTGTATTACCTCTTTGGGATAATGTTTGCATTTTCCATCCTTTCATCTTCATTTTATATGTCTCTCTTTGAAAAAATAATAGTTGCATTATTTTGTTATTTTTTCTTTTAATTATTAAACCACTTGCATATGTCCTCCAATATATTTGAGTTTAAGCCTCCCATTAAGTTTGTATCTTTAATTTATCCTCCCTATTTAATATTTGTTTTTCTCTCCTTGTTTCATTACTTTATATTGATTTTTTTGTGACTCTACTTTTTTCTCTAGTAGTGGAACTTAAAAACTCTCTTTCCTTCGAGATAAAAAGCATTTACCATTAACTTACATAAATCTAATATTGTGTAATACCTTCATACTGCTTCCAGGAAAAGCCAGGCACTTTGTTAATATCTTTACTTCTATCCTGGATAATTCAAGAAAACATAGATCACTGTAACTCCACTTACATCCTTACCATTTATATGAATTTGCTATCAGATATTTTAATTCTTAAACTATAAAAAGCATTATTGTTTTTCTGTGTAGTAGGTGTTAATTTATAATTCATATATATACACTACTCATCTTGCTATTTATTCCTTCCAAAATTTCTGACCATTCATCAAGAATTATTTTCCTCTGCCTTCAGTAGCAGAGTGCTTGCCTCACACATATGAGGCACTAGGTTTGATCCTCAGCACCACATAAAAATAAATAAATAAAATAAAAGTATTGTGTCCATCTACAACTAAAAAATATTTTTAAAAAAACTATACTGAGATTCCATCTCACTCCAACCAGAATGGAAATTATCTGAAAGATATTCTTGAATATCTTTCAAGAATTTTTTAGTGCAGTTGTGCTAGTGGCAAAACAATTTTTTGTTTGTTGAGAATATCTTTATTTTGCTTTTATTCATGAAGTATACCTTAGCCATATATTAAAATCCAAGTTGGCAGTTATTTCTTTCAGCCTATTGAAGACACAGTTATGCCACCTTGAATTTTTTGTTTTTGTTTAAATCAGCTGTTTCTCTGTCATTCTTACGAAGACAATCTAATGTTTTCCTTCGTTGGTTTTCAGCATTTTTCATTGTCTTGATATCTTACAGTTTCACTATTTAATATCAAGAAGTATAATTCTTTAAATTAGTCTTGCTTGGAATTCATCACATTTCTTGAATCTGCAAATTGTCTTTCCTCAGTTTTGGAAAATTTCCAGCCAAATTCTTATCAAGTATTGCCTCTGAGAATATAAAAAATCCTTCATTTTTGTTATATAAACTGAACTGAAAATTCTACTCACTACTTTGTTGTGCATTTTTGAAACATAATCAAAGAATTGTATTAATCATGACTAGAGTTTAAGGTCTCAAAACAACTTAAATCTGTTTCAGCAAATACAAACACACACACACACACACACACACACACACTAATGATACTATATATATCCATCTCTCAGTCCCCTGTGTTGTTTTTAGTATCAGGCAGATTCTCTCAGTGTGGTTCAGATCTGACCATAATCATCCTCAGGCTTCATTCTCATACTTAACAATCCCAAGGGAAACAGGGGAATTTTTCCAATAATTATAGCACAAGTGCCAGGGCTGACTCTCATTGGCCTGGTGTCCAAAGGCTGTAAGCAGTATGGAGACTCGTACCAACAGAAAAAGGAAGAATACTAGCAAAAAAGGCTATTATATTCTGTTTTGTTCAATTTCCTTAGATCATCTAGCTTCCTTTAATTTCTGTAGGCTTCTTAATTTCTTTTTCAATTCAGGATATTGTCTTATCATTTCCTAGTATCCATGTTTTTTACATTTTATTGAATAAAGAATTCAGCACTATCTAAAATGTACTTGCCTACTGCATTGAGTATTTTTCAAAAGTATGTTTCTTTCATTTTGAGGGCTACATTCCTTAAGCCAAGAAAAGGAAATGACTTAAGTGTCCATGCACTTATGAGTAGATTTTTAAAAAAAAGTGGTCCACATACAGAATGGATTATAATTCAATCATTAAAAAGAATGAAATCCTGCCATTTGTGACATGGATGGTACTGAAGATCACTGTTAAGAGAAACAAGTCAGGCATGGAAAAGCAAGTACCACCTGATCTATCTCTGTGGAATTAAAATGTTGATGTCATAGAAATTAAGAATAGAGTGTTGGTCAGCAGAAACTAGGAAGAGTGGTAAGAAGGGAAGGGTGGGGAAAGGTTATCAGTGTGTACTGAGTCACAAATAGGAGCAAGAAGTTCTGGTATGCTTGGCAGTAGTATGACTATAGATAAAAATAATGTGCTTTATATTTCAAAAAACTAGAAGACAGGATTTGAATTTTTTGCTATAAAGAATGATAAATGTTTGAGGAGACTGATTTCTTTGCATTGACACGAACATTACACAATACAAGCATGTATCAGAATATCACATGGTTTCCCATAAACATGTAGACTTTTTACTTATATGCATCAGCTTAAAAAGTAAATTTAAACTTAAATTTTAATATATTTACTTATCTTTGGACAGAATTATTTTCAAGACTTCTAGTGTATTCAAAAGGGTGAATGAAAGGATTCTTCTTTCATTAACTTATTTTGCTTAGTTTCTTTTTAGATCTCAATTTGAAAGTTTAGATGTACTCCTCACTTAGAAAGAATTCTGCTACTTTGTAAGCAATAGCACCCATTTCCACAACTGGCCCTCTATAGGGCTTAGCCTCCTCTTTTCCTGGGTTGCACACAGTTCTTTGAATGAATCCTTGTCCTCTCGGGTCTGCACATTAAGGAACACTCTGCCACTTCAGAAAGAAATCTACCTACTCACTCTTCTTATGTCCCAGTTCAGAAAGCTTCAAACTCTGTTTGGGCTCCCTCCATGTAATGCTATTGCCATATAAAGGTGGAGTTTCCATGGCCTTGGTTAGTACCATTAGAGCTACCTTGCTCCATGCATCCACCTAGGCCACAGTTTATCATAAATGACAGTGATACACAGTAACCAAGAAGACTTAAGAGGAATTTCTATAATGTAACAATATAAGAACTAAATAAAGGGTTGGAGTTGTGGCTCAGTGGTAGAGCGCCTGCCTAGCATGCTTGAAGCACTGGGTTCAATCCCTAGCACCACATTAAAAATAAATAAATAAAATAAAGCTTCTGTGTCCCTCTACAACTAAAAAGAAAAGAGAGAGAAGAAGAACTAAATAAAGTGGGTTATATAAATTAAATGAAAAAAAAGTTGGAAGATAAAAAAAGGTAATGTATGATTTCAGAGAAATTTTAGTTTAATTAAATATTAGGATATTCACAAGGAAAGGATATGGCTACGACTATACAATAAGTTAATAACATTAATTTTAAAAAATAAATTAAATAGAAGTAATAACTGTCTTGAAAATGCTAATAAAAAATACATGACTCACTTCTTTTTCACCTGTAACAATGTTATAGACCACTGGCTGTTTTTCTGTGCTTCTGTCATTTTTGTTAAAAACTCGAAGTTCATTGTTTCCATCCCCTAATTTATAAAGAACATGCTGAAAGTCCATGGCAGATTCCAAAGGCTCAATTGCAAAGGAAACATTTTCAAATTGCAGTATTCCTCTGTAAAATCAAGGATAATATTTTAAGTGTTTTTAATCAAATGTGTATTATAAAACTGACAAAATCCCAAAGGAAAAATAACAAAGATATAGAATGTTTTGAGTCCAGTGTTTTCTTCCAAACTCTTGATATGATTCTGAAGAGACAGTGATTTCCCTAATCCACAAAACCAATTCCCATTTTATTTTTATAGTTATAAAGTCAGCAGAATTTACCTAATCAGTTGCTAGAATTACAATATTACAGTGATAAACCCTGTTTTCCATGTCACTGACTAATTAAATCAATAATAAATAGAAATCTTGATGAATTTCTCCATCTAGCAAGGCTTTTAAAAAACATAATTACACAACTTTAATAACAATTATATGATGATCAATTTTCTTAAAAAATAAGTACTTATGAAATAACATAATTTACATAATATAATTTTATATAATAAAAATCTGAATAAGAAATCAAAAGTGAGATTCTAAAGAGTAAACAATTTGTGTAACTATCCTTCCCTGAATACAGGTAACAGTTCACATCACTACTCCATTAAAAGAAAAAATTTAGGTTTAAATTTTATGTTCCATATAAGGAGCACTGAAAAACATTTGTGAAAACAAGGATCCTACACTATAAAAGGAAGGTAGATAATTTCCTGACACAATGAAAATCTCTCTAAGCAGGAAAGAAGAAACACAATGATTCTAAGAGAGAGAGTGGGATTATTAGGGGAAAAAAGACTATGAACATTATATTAATAATTATTTATATAAACACTCAAGATGATTTCCTTGAGAAAAAGTAATCCTTGTTTAACTTTATTTGCCTTTATAACTCCAAATACTAGGATACACAGTAGGCATCATAAATATTCTCTTTTCTCAAAAAATTAGCCATCCTAAACTTGGTTCTCCAACTTACTATACACAAGTACATTGAGTTGTCATTTCTCTAGTTAAGAACAAAATAAGAAAAGGGAAGGTGCTGGAGGATGAGATTAATCAAATTATGTTATGTGCAAGTACAAATATGGCATAATCAATCCCAATATAATGTATAATTACAATGCACCAATAAAATACAAATTAAAAAAGAAAAAGAGAGTGAGGAGTCTAGGGAATCCAAACCTACAAGGAAGTTAGAAATATCTCTGGTCACTGAGGAACATGACAAAAAATGATGTTAACAGGGATCCACTTAATGCTTTGAGTCCAAACCTTGCCGCTTGGCTGTAAGCAGCTTATAAAACTGTGGTATATACGTGTATTAAGAATTGTAATGAAAAAAAGTACATGTTAAAGGCAAAAAAAAAAAAAGAATAGTGTTACCTTAGATTAAGTAGAGGGAAGTGAAAGGAGGGGAAGGCAGGGGATGTGGGGAAAAGAAAGATAGTAGAATGAAACAGACATTATTGTCGTATGTGTGTATGTGAGGGTATGGCCAATGTGATTCTACAATACTCAGAAAATGAGAAATTATATCCCATCTATGTATGACATATCAAAGTGTATAAGTACATTCTACTGTCATGTATAACTAATCAAAACAAATAAAAATTAATTTAAAAAATAAAACATTAAAAAAACTGACATTTTTTTGTTTTTGTTCCTTCCTCCTTCCCTTCTCCCCCTCCCTAAACATGTCAAGGGATGAGGGGATAGATCGACATTTCTCCCACGCTAGACTAAGCTATAGTGTTCTTCACTACCCAGAAGAATGTCACCGCCAACAAGAATAAAGAAACTCCAAACCTGAGAACGTGAGCAAAAGCTCTCTTGATGACATTTATTGAACACTACTTAATTTTATCTGATAATCTTATTTGATAACATTTGGGTCCCAGCTCTGTGTTCCTCTTTTAAAAGTCCTGCATTCCTCTGGGGCAGAGAGAATTGAAGACTCTGGGTCAGGAGTCTCCTGTGTTTCTCATTTGCTAGTAAACCAATAAAATTTCTTTTTCCTTTTTTCTTTTAAACCGTCTTCCTGGTTATCAGATCAGCAGTGGAGACAAGGACTGAACTTTCAGTACGAATAAAAGCAGAGAGTGTGTGTTCATAGAATATTACTGAATAACCACAACATAGGAATCCTCCTCTAGTTATAAATTTAAAATAAGGAGAATGAATTCACTACAGCCAAATATCATATCTAGGCTTTCTGTAATCAACAACAGAAAATAAATAAATAACCTCAGTCCAAAGCATGTGTTGAGTGTGACAATAGAATTTGGATATCCTTCAATATATCCTTGATAGTAGCATTGAGTCTAGGAAAGAAAAAAAAAGAAAACTGGTTATTGAGGAATTAACATAACTTTCTAATGATTTCCTACCTCTATACTTTATATGTCCTATTACTGGATGGAGACAAGGAAGAGGGTGAACTCTGGTATGTTGTTTCAAGGGCAGAGTCAAGAGAAATTACTGATAGATACAATGGGCAGATGAAAGAAAGTTGTTCATCTGTGATCTGTGTCCAATAACATTTGTGCCTGTTTATCTTACTTTGTATTCATTTATTAAACAAAATATAAATGAATAAATAAGCAAATACAGTCCATGTTCTAGGCAATGTGAAAGGTAGTAACTCAATCTAGTTTGCTTTTAGTTTACCAAGACCTAAAGAATTAATTAACAATTAATCAGTAAACACTTTAAATATATCTCCTGTGAATCTTGAGAGCTTTCTATATTAGGAAAGCACTAATTCAATGTAAAAAAAAATTTTTTAATTATAAAACATAAATCTCCTTGATGTTTAAGCAAATTACATAAAATTTTCTTCTGGATAACAAATGAATGCTTATTTCTGCATGATATAAGCAAAAATTTATTTTTTTTTCCTATTCACTTGAAATAACCTATGGCTTAAAATGCTCTTAGAGTTTTATTTCTCAGAATTAAAATCTGGTCACTTGATCTCTATTTGGTTTTCTGGTTTAAAAATAAAAAGGTTTCTCTTAACAGTGTCTTCAGTGACAATGCAAGGTAAGTATTAGAGGAAATCAAAAATTGTGCTTGGGGGCTTTTTGTTATGGGATACTGCTTTTGTTTTTGTTTTTGTTTTTTTTTTTTTTTTTTTTTTTTCTTTTTCCTTAACATTATCTGCTGCAATTTAAATAAAATTTTAAACATTTTAAGGTATTTAGTAGACAGACCAAACAAAATTACATTTGTTTTTATTTTAAAGTGAATGTTTTTCTCTTCAACCAATCTAAAAACAAAATACCTTATGTAGAAATATTTTCATAATATTTTTACTACAAGCTTTCCCGTGTTTTTTATGTCTTAATTTTCCTTGCTACGTTTACTGTAGGTTCCATAAGAATTTTACTCTCTTGTAATTGTGCCTCAGACTTTTTGAAAGTCCACCTTCTAAATTGCCCAGATGATGATCTAGATTCCACATGTTACATTGGTTTATTCTTGTGCTCTCTTGTATTTAAAACTTTGGCTGTACTAAGCAAATGCAAGGTTATAAATTTAGCTAATAGGAGTTTACAGACAATTCAGATGATTATGATTTCTTGGTTTAACTGAGCTGTACTAGTTTATCTCATAAGGAAATGATGCTGTAGACAAATGTAAATAAAGTCTGTGAGTCAAGCAAAAAAAATAATAAAATAAAAAATAAATAAAACATAAATCTTACCAAAATATCTGAAGAATGAGAACTCACAGATCCTTTATTATGCAAATAGACCATAAAATTATCTGCCAAAAAATATCTGAATATAAAAAAGAGTGAAAGAATGCAAGAAGTTATTCCTTGTGAAACATACAAAGCAACAGTCTATAAACAAATCCTCAGGTCTAATCCCGCCCACTCTTCACTACAGTTTTATTGGAACATAGCCACACCCATTCATTTACATACTGTCTGAGGCTGTTTTCACGCTGCAACAGCAGAATTAAGTAGCTCAGGCAGAGACCATATGGTTCTCAAAAAATCAGAATAGTTACTTTCTGGATTTTTAGAGAAAAACTTTGTCAACTGTTAACATAAAGGTAGTATGAAATAATACTACTGTTGAAATACTTAAATTTTATTCAAAGTAATATATTTACTCCCACCTTAATGGAGTCCTTTTTAAAAAATAAAAAACATGTGCAAGAAGAGGAGGGGAATTTTTTAAGATATGTATTGGATGTAGGACTATAAGAGTTTTCAGTTCCTTTACTCTAGGTCTTAGTATTATGCATATATACTACTTTGATAATGAAGTGAAAGAGTATTGCATAAAAGTCTTATTATTCTTAGTATTTGGAATAATACTAAGAAAGAATTAGAAATTTCAAATCTAAATTCAATCATTTCTGATTATCATTTCCAGTACTTATTATACCATTTTAGTTTCTTCCCCAACTCATGTTCGCTCCAGCCCAATGTAACTCAACTACATAAATTAGTTGAGAAAACTTTTTAATGACTATCTAGTTGTCAAATCAAAAGGCAGTCTAAAGGCAAGTAAAACAACTCTGAAGCATCTCATGCTTGGCTACATTCCCTTAACACCATCTCCTGTTAGATTTGTTTTCATTTTTTTAGGTTGGGGTATCAGGGATTGAACTCAGCCCTATTTTGTATTTTATTTAGAGACAGGGTCTCACTGAGTTGCTTAGTGCCTCACTTTTGCTGAGGCTGGCTTTGAACTTGAGTTCCTCCTGTCTCAGCCTCCCAAGCTGCTGGGATACAGGAGTTTTGTTAGGTTTTAATGATGCTTTCTCTCATGTCTATATCTCCTTATAAATCACCTCATCTAGATCCTTCCTTTGTCCCTTAAATATTTCCATGACATTCAATTCTACATTTTTTTTTTACATTCTCACCTTTAAACTTCATCCTCTACTTCTATAGGTATATCTTGTTCATTTCTGTGACTGTGTTTACTACTTGTATTAAAAAGATGACTTTGATTATCATAGCTTCTCTAAGTGTGTAGTGTGGTGTCTTCAGCTTTGTTCATTTTTGATCATGATTGCTTTGGTTATTTGGAGTTTTTTGTGGCTCCACATAAATTTTAGGATTTTTTTCTATTTCTGTAAAAAAAATACCATCGGAATTTTGCTATTATAAACAGAACTGATTTCTCAATTTCCTTTCACATAGTTTATTATTACTGTACAGAAATGCAACCTATTTTTGAAAGTTCATTTTATAACCTGTAACTTACTGAATTTGTGTATCAGTTTTATAGGGTTGTTTTGTTTTGGTGGAATCTTAGGATTTTCTATATATAAAATCATGTTGCCTTCAAACAAGGATAATTTAACTCTTGCTCTCCAGTTTGGATACCTTCTCTTTCTTTTTCCTAATTGCTCTAACGAGAATTTCTAGTGCTATGTTAAACAGAACTGGTGAGAGTGAGCATCCTTGTCTTAATCTTAGAGGGAAATCCTTCAACTATTTACCATCGACCATGATTATTAGCAGTGGGTTTTTCAAATTTTGCTTTTATTGTATATGGAGATACATTCCCTCTATACCTAACTTGTTGAATCCTTTTAATCATGAAAGGATTTTGAATCCCATGCTTCTCTCCCAAGTTCTAAACCAAATTAACCATCAACTGAACACTTTCCCTGGGGTGTCCCACTAGCAATTCAAGTCCAGATTCTCCAATAGTGAGCACATATTTTCCCTGACTCAGATCTGTTCCTTTTCTGCCTCTGCTCTGATTATGCAGGTGCTGCTGGTTCTGCCAACTTACTAAAATAGCAGTCTTCAGGAAGTGAATCCCTACTTGTTTCAGTTCCCAATCCCCATTTACAAAAGACTACTTTAAATATTAGGATCAAAAATTTAAATGTCACATGCAAGCATTTGCTCATCCAAGACAACTAAAACTTTTAATAACAACTATATTTATTTTTCATACTCAATTTTAACACAAGTGAACAGTTTCATAGAGATTAAATGAAACCTAAAGAATAAAAAAAAATTACCTTTTTTTAAGGTGCACAGTATACGGTTTCTCATCTATTGGAATGATGTAAGATACCTGTTCCTAGAAAATCCAGAACAACTGAAGTGAAGATAAATTTAATATAAGAAACAAAACACAATTATATATCAATTAACCCCTCCAAACAATGCTTTAAATGTACTTATTAAATATCTGAGTATATATGATTTAAAATCTATAACAAAACATCAAAAATTTGTATTTAACCAGGTACAATGGCGCACACCTGTAATCCTAGCACACCTGTAATCCCAGCAGCTCGTGAGGCTGAGGCAAAAGGATTGCAAGTTCAAAGCCAGCCTCAGCGAAAGTGAGGTGCTAAGAAACTCAGTGAGACCCTGTCTCTAAATAAAATACAAAAGAGCCTGGGGATGTGCCTCAGTGGTGAAATGCCCCTGAGTTTAATCCCCTTACAAAAAAAAATACCTGATTTTAGCATAATAAAAACAAAAGACACATTGGGGAAGACAGGATGGAGTTTCCTATGTCATACCTTACCCAACCCCAAGCAACACAGTGTGGAAGGAGATGCCTCCTGCTTGGAAAAGGGGAAGGGAATCAGGCCCAACACAATGAAACCCAGAACCAAGCAGAGCCCTGCTACCCATGGTCCCAGGTCAGCACCCTCAGACTGAGCCTGAGGACCTCACATTAGCCAGGTGGCCATAGGACTGTTTCACCAACCTCAAGAAGCACTCACAGAACAAAAAAAAAAAAAAAGGTCTCCACTTACTAGTATAGCAGGAAAGTGAGCATAGAAATTTGCCTTGAAACTCAGTGCCAGACCCACTACAGTGAGATTCATCATCAGGCAGAATCCAAAGGCTCCCATACCCAGGTCAGTACTTACAAACAGAGCCTCTAAGCATGCCAACAATTAGGCAGAAACTGCAGCCCAGGAAGATGGACTCAAGATTCAGCCTGCATTACTGCCAGCTGTGGCACAGCAAAGAGCAAGCTTCCATTTACTAAGGGTTAGGATAGGGAAGTAAGCACAGGATTTTATCTTAGAACTCAGTGCCAGGTCAGTGACACCCAACACTAGGGAGATGCCAATGCCTCCTACCTCCTACCTCCAGGTGACTGTCCACAAAGTCTTCAGGCCAAACCCAGTACCAGGCAGAGGCCCATGACCTTTGTGGGTAGGACTTCTATGCTGGACAGTATCAACTGTGGCTGATTACAATATTCTCAGGCCTTGTTCACACCATAGCAGTAGGCAGCATATAGCACTGTAGGCCTGGTCCTGCCCTTGTGCTATGCTGATCTCAATGGGCTATGGACTCTGGTTGGGACTCAACAAGTCTGCAAGACACAGGACTGCCTACCTCAACACTCTTCCAAACCAATCAGGACCACAAAGAGAGAGTGCCCACTTGGAAGCAGAAAAGGTTAAGTAGGCACCAAGTCATTGTACAGCCAAGAGATGATCCCCCCACTGTAAGGCCCAGAGTCAGTCAGAATTTCACAGCATCTGATCATAGGCCATTGACCATTTTAACAAAGTATCTGAGCTCAATTCTTCCCCAAGAAAGGTTTGTGAGAAAAGCCTATCCTATTTAGGCACCCCCCTACACATTCATACTGAGTAACATACATCAACTGGAGACTCTCAGCACACCAGGACTTAGGGCATGATCTAGGGATGAAACAGCAGAAGAGATCACAGGATTAGAGAAAACAGGCTATCTGTTTAGAATTTCTGAAAGGACAGGCACAAACAAAGTCAGATTATGAAGGTGGGAATAAGCAACTAATTTTTCAATATACCGCTGTTGTCATATTTCAGCAAGCCTCAAGACCTACCAGGGAATAATCACCTCACCTAATGACAAAAAAAGGTGTCAGAAACTGACATAAATCAAATGATAAGTGAAAACTCTTACATAGAATTCAAAATGGCTATTTTAGGGGAACTCAATAAATTTTAAGAAAACACAGAGAAACAACTCATTACACTGTCAGAGAAACTTAACAGAGAGATTGAAGTAATCCTTTAAAACTAAACACAAATCAATTAGATGCTAAAAGATAAAGACAAAGGATTCTCAAGCGGCAAGAGAAGAGAAAGAAATGGCCAAATAACATATAAAGGTGTTCCAATGCACCTGATACAAACTTCTCAGCAGAAAGATTATAAACCAAGAATGAAGAAAATGAGATTTTCACTTTGCTAAATAAATTTTTTTTAAATTAAAACTGCCAACCAAAATACTATACCCAGAAAAGCTAGTCTTTAGAAATTAACAGCAGGTCTTCCCTACTAGAAATGCTAAAAGAGGTTCATCAAACTGAAAAATTATTGAGTAAGAGACCCATGAGAAGGTATAAAAATTACTGATAAGAGTAACTATACAATTTTTTAAAGTAACTATACAAAATCGGAATGCTGTAAAACCAAAAACTTGGTGTATAAACCATTCATATCTTTAATATAAAGGCTAAAATTCAAAACAAAAAATAATGACATTAATATGAAAAAGACAATACAGTATGTTGTAGAATAGGACATCAAAAATTCAACTTGTGAGAAGGAATGAAGAGCAAGTGTAGAGATTTTTATTAGTTTTTTCCCTCCATTTTTGTTTCTGTTCCTATCTTTATGACCAATTAATATGTTAACATTTGAAACAGCCTGTTATAATCAAAATAATTTTTTGTCAGCTTCGTGGTTAACCTAGAGCAAATTCTGTAATATATACCAAAAATAATGACAAACAATTAAAACACACTACTAGAGAAATCACTTGGCCACAAAGGAAGACTTAAGAGAGGGAGAAAGTAAGAAAGGAACTATGATAAAAGTATGAAATAACAGAATACCCTAGTAAGACCTTACCTATTGATAACTATCTTAAGTGTAAATGGGTCGGGCTTCCTGTTCTCCTTTCCTCTGCTCAGATTTGAGATCTGACTTCCACCTACCCAAATTGCTGGTCTCAGCTCAGTCTCTGCCTGGACTTGGTGGCAGCTGAGTGCTGAGTTGGGCAAGCACTTCCCAAGAGAGGCTGATCTACCTGGTTCCCCTTGTTCACAGGGGAGGGAGAGCCCTTGGAATTTCTGCCTATGCCCACAGACATTGGAGAGGGTGAGGGACACCTAGTGGTAAGTTACCGAGTCCTAAGAAAACTAGCGAGACTTTCCTCCAGTTCACTGTCCTATGAGGGGCCAAGCCAGAGAGAAGCTGCCCATAATCTCCAAATCTCCAGCATCATAGAGGCAGGGAACCCCAGATGGTGGCTGAAGCTGACAGAAAGCTACAACAAGAGGGTGCCTAAGTCCTTGGGACACCTAAAGAGGAAGTGCTCAGATCTTCACCATAGCCAGCAGGAGGTCATTCAAAGCAATAATATGTCTGGGCCCAAGGCAACCAGAGCTCCCAGTCTGAATTCTCTCCTAGCCCAATTCATCTCCCAGCTTGAACCTTGACCACAAATATGGAGTGTGATAGGACATGGTTTAGATACTGGCTGGACTCTGCCTCACTCACAGTCAGCAGAGGGAGTCAGCACCCGCCATTCAAAACCTGGGGCAGTGGAACTAGAACAGTATGAACTGGCTGAGTTCCATTCTCCAGGAGTAATGACAGTAACCTCAATGAGTTGCACAGGCCAGGGGAACATTTGTGCAACAAAGATCACATGCAGAGAATCTGCAACCCCAGGACTTGTGCTTATTGAAGCCACCAGAATCTATACCACCAAGAAAAGGACACTGTAGAGGGGACTCTCCACAATCTCAGCCACAGCCCAGAGCCTTCATCCAGAACTTCTTCACACAATAGAAACACACAACAGACACAATACCACACCCTCCAAGCACTTAGCCACAGGCCCCTGAGCTGACAAACCAGAACCAACCAGTTGATGGAAGGTCCATTGCAACTAGGAGAGTGGCTCCTGTGTCCCAGCATCTCTGGAAAGATTCAAGGGCAAAGAATGACAGACACCTTCAAAATGCCCCAAATCGTAATGAAACTCATCTTGGCATGGTTTTCTATAAGTAACTTTAATGTCAACCTTAATGATATATAAAACTCTATCTTGACTGTTAGTTCTTACCCTAATAGCCAACATTGTACCTTCAACCCACATAAATACATTTTTTTCCTAACAGTTTAAAATATCATTTGGGGGCTGGGGATGTGGCTCAAGCGGTAGCGCGCTCGCCAGGAATGCGTGCGGCCCAGATTCGATCCTCAGCACCACATACAAACAAAGATGTTGTGTCCACCGAAAACTGAAAAATAAATATTGAAATTCTCTCTCTCTCTCTCTTTAAAAAAAAATAAAAATAAAAATAAAATTTTAAAAAAATATATCATGGCCTGCCAGGGAGGGGAAGGGTGACCACCGACAGAAAAGGCCCAGTGGCCCGCGGCAGGACAGAGCTTCCAATCACTCCTGCAAGGTAGGCGGGCCTGCGACCCACCGGCAGAAGAGGAG